ATTATATATATACAAGAATTGCTCGTTTAAAGGTATAATAACAAATAAGATAAATACTAAGCTAAATTAATAATTACCGGTACAAAGGTTACTTCAAACCTTCAATAGTGAAGTTCGTAAATGGCCGGACATCGAAATCACACAACAAATCACTTTAAGTTAAGAACATCGAACTAAATGAATGGTCAAAGTTATCGAAGACCTAATTAAACGGCGGGTTTAATTAATACGATGCGGCTTTACAGTTTGTAATGTAAGTCTAGTAAATGATCAACGCTTTATCAAGAATGGCATTTCGCCCCCTGAGACCGACCGGTCCGGCACAGATGTTCGTATCAAAACAGTAATTTCGCGGGTTTATTAATCAATTTTAGATACGGAATTAAACGATGGTTTATGTAGGCTTAGAAATAGGAAATTCGCGAATCAAATTCGTTTGGTCGTTGCTATTCTCTTTAGGGCTCTGTCGAGGCGTACCCGGTTTGCGGATTGATAAATGAACGGAAACACTCGGCGGCTAATGAATGGGGTGTGGCACGCACACCGCATGCCGTTGCACTGTCCAACGTTGAAGCTACCGAACCAGCTTTCTATACAACTTCACTATTCCACATATTTTACGGGTGGTAGGACTTCTTCTAAGTCCGCGCGAGTAGGTACCACCGCCCCGCCTATTTCTGCCGTGAAGCAGTAATGTGTTTCGGTTTGAAGGGTGGGGCAGCCGTTGTAACTATACTTGAGACCTTATTATTAACTTATATCTCAAAGTGGGTGGCGCGTTTACGTCGTAGATGTCTATGGGCTCCAGTAACCATTTAACAACAGGTGGGCTGTGAGCTCCTCCACCCATTTAAGCAATAAAAAAAACACAAATCTCTCATTAAAAGAACACACTTCATTCAAGAAGGGCATTATTTTAAAATTTAAAGATTCTGGATTAGAACAAACAACGGGGACAGTTAATTAATTAGATAGGAGTTCTTCTCGATCCGTCAAAATTGCTACTAAATTTAACATGCTTTTATTAGCTTGACCTGTATATATCATATTAGCTTTACGTATGTGACGGAATTTATAGGTACCTACGTATTTTTACAAACTGCAAAACATTTTGATAAGCTCCACAAGTTCCATACAATCACAATTCATCGTTTCTTGATACGACACAATAATTTTATTACTTTTGATAAAAAAAAATGATTCTTCTCTTTAGTTCTGTTTGAATTTAAAAAGTTTTTTTAGGTTTTGTGCGAAATAAAAAAGTTTTTTGCGTATTTATTTATTGTGGGGTGTCTTGTTAGCCTGGGGAATCCATTTACGGATACAAGATCCAGGGGGTTATCAGACCGGGTTATGTCGAAATCCGACGTCTCCAAGCGTCTTGTGGGCCTACACGGGTAGGTAGGTGCCCCGCCGTGTTTATTTCAACCGAGATACTTATACCTAACGTCTCAAGATAGAGTGGCGACATTCACGTAGTAATAACTAGTTATTACCAGACCACTTTACACTGTGGATGGGTTGGGAGCTCTTTCACACGTCCGGGCACTTCTTTTTTACTGTTCGAAAATGTTTATGAAAAAACAACAGGACATTAATGAAGAGATGGCGGAGCCGGGAGTTCATTCATTAATTCTAGGATCTTCTAGGAAAATGGAGGGGAGCAGACTACTGGAATGGAACCTGCGAAAAAAACCAAAAAAATTACGTTCGATTACGTATACAAATTGTTTTTAATAAAGTTTATTAATAAAGGTTTAAACGGTCGTAATGGCTCGACTCACAACAATACCGCGGACATTAAAACGGAAAGCAATTTCGCGAGGAGAACACTGGTTCGTACCGTGCTCGACAGACCAGACAGTAGACGATTCATTTCCCTGATGGCCACCCATTACACCGGTCAAGATGAATGGATAACGAACCACCAATTACAATATAAACGGAACGACAATCGAATGTTTTCACTAATTGAAAAACCACGTATGGATCGATTCACTTAATGGCCACTATATGAAATGAAAGTCCGAATAATATGAGCTGACGTGACGGTTGATGTATTAACTTCATTGAGTTTACGAGTGTTGGTGACGTTTATTAATCTAGTGAACCACTTTCGAATTCGAGCGTTGATAGGCTTGACGGGTTATGACGCTATGTATTTTCTATAGTTATATAGTAGAACATGAATACAATGATTTTGTCACAAACTTTTAGTTTATCGTATCATCGAAAAGTATGTCAACTTAATTAACTTTTTAAGTAGCGTTAAAATTAAACAAACAATTCACAAAAAAAATTTATTAAATTGAGAATAAGAAGGACAATTAGTGGCAAATTGTCCCGCAGTCAAGTAAAACTAAAACGATAAAGGAGGAATTAGCGCGCTCGCGTCACTTCGCAAAGAATCCTAATCATAATAACTCAAGATCTTATCGCGGCTGGAAGACGATGAACAAAAGGCTGTGAAGCAACAATGGCGCCCAACGTGGGGCCGAGAGGCGCGCTAACAAATTACCAACCCGCAGATAACTAAGCAATATTAAATCATAGTAATTTGTGGTTGCAAGACGCAGCCCATTTCCAGCAAGTTATCTCGTAGCTCGACTTAAGATATATACTATACTTTTTCTCAGAAATTCGCGCAAACAGCTATGCAAGATAAGTTAAGGATAACTAACAGAGATTTAAGTTATGTAATATTAATGAAACGAAAAAAAATATTATAAAAGATTCGTTAAAGCGTAATTAGACTTTTTAATCGGTGTATTTCAGTCAACAATTAGCAAAGACAACCAAAGTCAAGGGTATTTTGATCTGAACGATAATCATACCGGCTGCTTGCATAATCACCGCAGCTTCGCCCGAGTGGTCGAGAAACAGCCTGAGTGTAGTTTCCCGTTAGAATGAGATGTTTTTTTCGGGATAAATGGTAGCTTATGCCACTTACGTGACCTAATACCTGACTTAAAAAAAAACTGGCAATACGTTGCATCCTTTAAAGTTCGAACAAGGACAAACAAACATAAAAAGTACTATTACATTTATTATATTAGCATGGGTTTAAGGAAGCTCAAACAATTAATATCAGTTCAAATGTTAAATTCGAACACCATCCGGAACTGAGCATTCAAATTTCTAACCACTTTAAATTTCAGGCGCGAGCATTTCGAAAAAGCTTCTGCGGCTGCTGCGGTCAACGACAGGTCATAGTTTATTAATGAACCGATGCGAAACATCATTGGGATGCGATCAGTATTTTCGTACCTATTTAGGTAAATTCTATTAGATTAGTCGGACAGATAAAAGCCACACTATTTAAAAGAGTTATCGGAGCACATGAGCACACTGAGCTTATCATCGGATCTTCTCAGTGGGTCGCGATTTCGATCCGGCGCTAGATACTGCGAAGCACTGTTCTTTTACCAGGGGTTAGTTTTAGCAAATTCTCTCAGGTTAAGCTCGTAAGCTCACAAGCTCACCTACCCGCCCGTGTGAAGCTTAGTAAATAGACCCTTAAGCAACTAACGAATGGATAGGGAAAAAATATACCTCCAAACTAATTCTAAACTATTAGTAAAAGTTCTAAACTAATTATAATATATCAGTTGCATTGCGTCATCGTACAAATAGTCGGGAGGGTGATGTAACGAATGCGAGGGTGCTCACCATGCTCTACCATTAGTTCTCAAGATAGTAGTGTTATATCTAACATAATTTACGGGGTAATTTATGAAATACATTCAGCCTATTGCAAACTATATAAAACCTTACCAATCCGATGGTCGGGTCAGAGTGTGTACGGAGGAAAGACAACCTCACTCTCTCTTCAATTTAACTCTTAATAAGTCGTAACAGAAAAGTAAGAGTAGTAATATCGTCCCTACAAATTTAACCAAAACATACTTACAAATTGGTAACGTTTACGTAATTTCTCGACACCTAACTCATACCCAAGACTTTGGTAAAAAAAATTATTATTTTTTTATTGCTTTGATGGGTGGACGAGCTCACAGCCCACCTGGTGTTAAGTGGTTACTGGAACACATGGACATCTACACCGTAAATGCGCCACCCACCTTGAGATATAAGTTCTAAGATCTCAGTATAGTTACAACGGCTGCCCCACCCTTCAAACCGAAACGCATTACTGCTTCACGGCAACATGATAATGTATTTATGAGTTCCAACCGAAAAATATGGTGGGCTGAGGCTAAAGTATTTTAAATTGCCTTTAACCATCTCAAATATAATTTACAGGACGCTTTTTTATAATGTATTCGAACTCGAAAGGAAATTGTGCGAAAAATGTAATGCGAACGACCGAAACCAGGATTAAATTTATCTTCCGTCACGACGGTTAGCTACGGTGATCGAAATTTTAAATCGCCAACATAAGAACCCTTCCGCAAATACATTTTCGTTCCGAAATACAATATTTAGAACATGATGTTCAATAATATGGCTAACTATTTGATTTCGAAACTAAAATTCATTAAAAGAAACAAAACTTATTTTAAGCCATTTAAAAGACATGAAAATAGTTCACATCCTTTCTTTAGTTCTCATCTAAATTCTTAAGGAATTATTATTAAAAATATATAAAACGATTTCAAGCGCGTAGCTTAGAATCTGAATAAAGATTTTTAAGCCTTCTGACACCTATCGGAAAGTAACGAAACTACGACAGACAACCTTAAAATAAGAATCCTTTGGAGAACCATGAGACTGACCAAAGCCTTTTTCATGAGGAACGTTAACGCCATCTGTTATTGTACGCATTCGTTATAGCGCCACCTGTGTTTTAAGGGACAAAATTGATACAGCCCTCACTAGTAGAACGCTTCTCATAATAAAGTCAGGCAACAGTCAATAGATGGCGCTGAATTACATTTGTAACAAAACTCGGTTGAGAGTGCAGCTTATTATTATTTACTGTTTTATTTTGAATATTAAAAAGCTATTATTATTATCAATAATTGAGGGTATAAGGTACTTACGGGTGTGATGTCGGCCTCCATCTTAGGGCGCAAAATAATGTCTGGAACCAAAAAAATCCCAATCAGTACAAATCAGTGAGTTTAGATTTCGTGATCGATATTGAAGTCAATGACCCGTCCAGTCCAATAAAATTTGTGAGACTATTGAAGACTTATGATTAGACATTTTTTTTCGTCAAAATAGCTTACATTTAGTTATAAATCAGATTTCTCCTTGAACTAGTTATATTAGTGGATTTTTATATTTCATATTAATTCAAGTATCACAATTTTATTTTATTTTATTGCTTAAATGGGTGGACGAGCTCACAGCCCACCTGGTATTAAGTGGTTACTGAAGCCCATAGACATCTACAACGTAAATGCGCCACCCACCTTGAGATATAAGTTCTAAGGTCTCAGTATAGTTGCAACGACTCCCCCGCCCTTCAAACCGTAACGTATTACTGCTTCACGGCAGAAATAGGTAGGGTGATGGTACCTACTCGCGCGGACTCACAAGAGGTCCTACCACCAGCTACTACGCAAATAATAATTTTGCGGGTTTGATTTTTATTACACGATGTTATTCCTTCACCACGGAAGTCAATTGTGAACATTTGTTGAGTACGTATTTCATTAGAAAAATTGGTACTCGTCTGGGATTTGCACACTGGTGCATCGCTCAATAATCAATGCACCGGACGTCTTATCATTTAGGCCACGATGACTTCAAATTCAATTGGAACTGCTGTCCTATCCTATAACATCGGAACGCATTCCCGGCACACATATGCAGTGACAACTACCACTAATAGGTTCACAATACACCGGTAATTACACAAATTTATAGCACGTCCGCAGAATTATACAAAATGGTCGATAAGGATACGCTGGACATTTTTTACAAACCACAACGACTATAAAAACTGTCTCTCGCAATAAGGCGCCGTGTTCATATCAATCGGCCGTCTGGTGTAGTAGTAAGTGACATGGTCAGTACACAAGAGGGTCGCGGGTTCGAATCCCGCCAAGGGAAGATATTTGTATTATAAACATAAATGTCTTTTCCAGGGTTATGGATGTATATTAAATATATGTATGTGTATAATAAAAATCTTACATTTATATCCGTTATCTGGTACCTGTAACACAAGTTCTTTAAGAACTTATCACGGGACCAGTTAACGTGGCGTGATTGTTAGTAAATATTTATTTTATTTATTTATTTATAATCACCAGAAATTATATACTAATATCGGACTCAGAGACGAAAACGAATAAAATTAATATTAAAATCCTAGACTCCTGTACTAAGCCTTCAACACTGTTATTGTCGGAGATTCACACGTAACATAATATAATTTTAAGAATTTTATTTAATACATTTATATCGCACATGTGTTTGAGTATTTATGCAACCTTAAATCTTAGCACAGACTAACTGGTCGGTTACAGAACATGATTAAACAACAATAAAAAATAGAAAATTACGAACTGATTTCGGTGAGGTCATAACCTTATCCTATCATGTTATTTATGGAACAGAACATTTGAACTGGTTCAATGGTTCTATAATGATTTACTAAATAATCAGAGAAGCAATAATTTTGACTAATTTTGACAAGTTTAAATACGGGACAGACTAAGAGACACGTTTCTGTTGAAGTTAAGGATCACATATATCTCTCTCTCTCTTCGATCGGTTCCTCACTGCTGAGGATCGTGACTCCGTTCGATTTCGTCAACCAACTGTCTCCATCGATCCCGCCCTGCAGCCCGGTGGAGTGCGTCGCTGATAGGTATCCCCAGTTCCTCCGCTATTTGGCTATCACATGTATAGCCAAGAATAAATATTGCCCACTGAGTTTCTCGCCGGATAGTGGGTCGTCATTCAGATTCGGTGGTAGATTCTGCGAAGCACTGCTCTTGCTAGGGCTAGTGTTAGCAAATTCACTCAGGTTGAGCCCGTGAGCTCACCTACCAGTCCGGGCGTAGCTGCAATAGCCCATTAGGCTAACAGCGAATAGGTAGAGAAAAAAAATTGGTCACACAAATATGCATTTCGACAAAATCCAAATACACGTATTCGCTAAAGAAACCAACTTAGTTCGACCTGCGGTTTGCGAGTCTATTGGAATAAAAATACCCTAACTCTGGCAGCGATGATGATTGGTTGACTCTTATCACCTGGGATCATTTCATCGTGAAGATGAAGCTGCAATAGAGAAACTGTTAGACCTCAAGATACTGTAAGCTGTTTCTGTGTGATAATAAACGTAATAATCAATTAATATTTTTTTAAGTCAATGGACGGCAGAACATGTTGAAATGTCGACGAAATAAATTTAAAGTACATAATTAGAATTGTAAACTGTATAAATAATTTTACGAAAACAGATTAAATTTATCGAACTTTTGAAGAAAATCTGGGAAACTCCAGTTCCTTTTAGTTTAACCGGTCTCATAATAATTTTCCGTTGTATACATATATTTCTTTTTTACTGCCTTTATAGGCAGACGTGCATACGTCACACTTGATGGTAAACGGTTACCGTCGTTCACAGACGCCAGCAATGCCAAGGGCACAGCCAAGTCGCTACCTACCATTAAATACTTTCCGCAAGCCTCTTTGAAGAAGGTCACGCCATAGCGCTCGTGAAACACCGTGGAGGGAGCTCATTCCACAGCCCGATAGTATTTGGGTTACCAGACTCAATAAATGTCAAACAAATATGACATCGTTCGGAGAGCACTATTATAATCCCTAGAAATTAATTACGAAGTTATTATAAAAGCAGTGCAAAAGCAGTAGATTATCCATGTCCGTTTCTTCTAAAAATGCTTGGTCTTGTCCATATTTAGGTTTTCTGTTAATACATCTATTTATTACACTCTAACGCTTTAGGATAATTTCCGAAGTAGCTGTTCTATTCGATTTTTTCCCCCAAATTTACTTGTGAGTCCACAATGGTTCGGTTTGAAGGGTGGGGCAACCGTTGTAACTATACTGAGACCTTAGAACTCACATCTCAAGGTGCGTGGCGGAATTTACGTTGTAGATATCTATGGGCTCCGATAACCACTTAACTCCAGGTGGCCTGTGAACTCGTCCACAGATCTATGCAATAAAAAAAAAGAAATCTCTTCATTTTTGTAAGCTTGGTACCTTTATTTCTGCAAGAAAGCTAGCTTTAAATCTCTTAGCATTATCTAAAGTGCTCAAGCTTGACATAAATCCAGTATACGTGATATGTAACTTGCTAACGTGAATTTAATAACTAGCCTCGACAGAGCCCAGAATCCCCTCCATGCTGATAACATAAAACCCTATTGTGTACATACAAGGATGAACAGGATACAGGAATTAACATTGAAATTAATCGTGTTGCAAAAACTAACTAAAAACTAAATTTTAATACTGTATAAACTATTATAATAATATGTATGTATGTATGAGTATTTAAGTATGTATACGGGTTTGTGTATGTGTGTCATTGCACCTACGACTATTTATTCTGCACTACCTTTGGTTAACTGTTAGAGAATGCCTTAGGCATTAAGTCCGTCAATGTAAAATTTACATGAAGTCTAATAAATAAATTAATTAATAAAAAAAAATACTTTGCTTATATAAAAACGTGGACTAGGTACTTCATCGTGGAACTAGGTTTCAATTCTCGATCAGGCTATCAGTATTCGGGGTCTTGATGTATCTATTCATTCTTCTCTCTTATTACGTTTAAATTTCAATTAATTTACCTAGTTACGCTTGTAGCGTGTTCATAATTATGTCGACATTGTTCCAACATAACAAACAAGCAACTAACAACGTAACAACTAACTAACATAACATTGTGCGCCGAAACAGAATTTCCATAGCGTTGGCACCGACAATGTTCGATACCGGATGCCGACTTAATAAGCTCTCGATGTAATTAGGTTAAAATGCAATGTACGAAGTCAATGTGGGGTGAGGAGGACACAAAACAGGGTGCTGCGTAGGTACTTAGTGGACGGTTGCAANACAAGCAACTAACAACGTAACAACTAACTAACATAACATTGTGCGCCGAAACAGAATTTCCATAGCGTTGGCACCGACAATGTTCGATACCGGATGCCGACTTAATAAGCTCTCGATGTAATTAGGTTAAAATGCAATGTACGAAGTCAATGTGGGGTGAGGAGGACACAAAACAGGGTGCTGCGTAGGTACTTAGTGGACGGTTGCAAGGACTAAAGCTGCTTTCAGACTACGCTATACTATAGTGCCATATAGTATAGCAGCCTATACTTAGCCAATACTTATTAACTTCTAATGTTTAGAAATGGTTTTCTTGAACGAGATTTTTTTTGTCTGCGAAAAAGCTTGTAATAAGAGAACTGATTGGAAATAATATTATGGTTCCTAATCCAACCAAATCCATTAAACGCAGTCGCCAGAAGATATCCTTCCTTTCTGAAGCACCAAACATTCTCTGCTTTCTTAAGCAAAGGAAGGAAGAATGTTGCGTTAACTCCACGGCTTCAGCAGTTAATACTTTGAATACTTAGAATGTAAATAGAAACGCGAAGCTTTGATGATATTTTTGAAGCTAAATTTACGAAATTTGCTGACAATTTTTGGAATTTAAATCAACATTGAAGCCTCCAAAATAAATTAGCCCAAAAGTATTTTTCCGTCATGGCAACCTCTGTACCTTTAGAGAGAATGTTTTCTTTCGTCGAATAACTAATAAACGACCGGCGGACCAAATTTAATCAGAAGCTGATTTGTTATGATTGATAATTTGATTTTAAAACAGAAATATATATATATATATATTTTTTTTTTATTGCTTATATGGGTGGACGAACTCACAGCCCACCTGGTGTTCAGTGGTTACTGGAGCCCATAGATATCTACAACGTAAATGCGCCACCCACCTTGAGATATAAGTTCTAAGGTCTCAACTATAGTTACAACGGCTGCCCTACCCTTCAAACCGAAACGCATTACTGCGTCAAGACAGAGATAGGCAGAGTGGTGGTACCTACCCGCGCGGACTCACAAGAGGTT